GTTATGGTGCTTGATTGGTTAAGGTCTTCAACTGAGAAGTCATTAAGTAGGTTAAGGTCTTCAGTTGTGAAGTCATTAGGCAGGTGAAGGTCCTCAATTGTGAAGTCACTTGGTAGGTTATGGTCCTTGATTATGAAGTCACTAGGTTAAGATCCTCGATTGTGAAGCCATTAGGTAAGTGAAGGTCTTTAATTGTGAAGTCACTAGGTTAAAGTCCTTGATAATGAATTATCTAGGTTAAAATCCTCTATTGTGAGGTCATTAAGTAGGTGAAGGTCCTCTAAGCCCCCAGTACAGCCTCTGTATTCCTGGCAAAACTCAGAATACACCTGGGCTCAATAGGCTTTCTCAAACACGCCACCTAGCCTGCCTAGGCCTTACAGCAAGCCTATGATCAGCATGTAGAAACAGAGGAGAAAAGACTGATACATGCTTCCACCTGCAGAGAATAACAGCTTGGTTTGGGAGTTTCTTTAAGATTATAGAAGTTTGTTGTTATTGTTAGTTGTTGTTACTTATTTTTTTTCTAGTTTGTTCAATCCAACAATGCTGAATCAAACTCCCACTTGGCAATATCCTAGGAATACATAATCCTAAGAAAATCATTTTATTCTCAGTGTCCCAGGTATTTCTTTGTAAATTTCTCTCTTCCATCTTGGAAGACAGCAGGTGAAAAATCTGAGAAGCTTGAAACAATGGAGAAGATAACTGCAGCTAGGAAGGCTGGTGGTCACACTGCCAGTGCCATGAAAAAGTCTGATCTTAAGGTTAAAAGTCCCACTGCAGCTGAAACCCTGTCCTGGTTAGAGGAACTGGGAGGAACTTCTGATTTATTCCAGGAAGGCCTTGTACAAAAGAAAATACTTAGCTGAAAAGTACATGGTTTAAAGAAGAAAAAATAGAAGGTCTTTGCTACTGTCACAAAACCAGTTGTTGGCAAAAAGAATGGTGATAATTGGGTGATGATGTTTTGCAAAATGCCTCAGTATTAGGTATTATCCTACCAAAGACTCCATGGAAGCTATGGAGTCATGACACAATGTGTTCCAGTACTGAGATGACTCTGTGTCAGCATTATTCCCAGGACCATCTGATCACCCTCACCTGGTGTTACACAGGCAAAAGAGTTGTTTTCCTGAAGCATCTGGGCAGTGGCTGCTACTTCTCACTGAACCTCTTGTTTTCAACTAAGTCCTATTGCATAGAACATACCAGAAGTTTGTCATTGCCACCTCTACAAAAGACACTATTAGCAAGGTTAAAACTCCCAAACACCCTACTGATGCTTACTTCCAGAAGATGCAGCTGCACATGAGCAAACACCAGGAGGAAAATATCTCCCACATGTAGAAACACCAGGTAACAGAGCACACCTGACCAGAATGCTATGGACTCAAAGATTTTGCAGATTTCTATTCTTGAACCTACCACCCCCCCACACACACACACAGTAGCCACTCTCAACCTGTGGGCAACAACTCCACTGGCAGGGTCATGTATCAGTATTTATGTTACAGTTAATAATGATAGCAAAATTACAGCTATGAAGTAGCAGTGAAATAATTTTATGGATAGGGGTCACTACAACATGAGGAATTGAATTAAAGGGTTGCAGCATTAGGAAGGTTGAGAACCTCTACCCTGTAACATCAGGAAATCATGAACTGTAAAGATACAGGCTGATACACTCAGTTATCAGTGTCTCCAGCCATGTCTTAGGAGTTTGTGGCTGAGCCACAATGAAGATACACACAATGTTTACATGAGACCATTCCTTGTGAGTCTTAAATGCAATTTTCAGCTAAGTGTTACAATGCACACTGTAAGCTTGCACGTGGGAAACCAAGGTAGAGAGACTACAAGATCAAGGTTTGCCTAATCTACACAGAAAACCTCTAAATCAAGGTTAAAAGGGGACTTTTCTCATGGATTTAACAACTTTACTGCACACTGGCTGAGAGCACAAGCTCACTCACACACCATCTCTCTCTTGAAGGACAAGCCATAGACCCAGAGCAGGTCAGAGTACTTCCTGCTCCCCTTCCATGGCTTTGAGCCAGCAATGTCAAGGTATTGTTATTGTGATTTACACATGAATCTGAAGAAGCAGAAGCGTCAGCCCCTTCTGCATACAGCCTTCACTACTGCCAGTTAAAAAGCATGGTCATCTCCTCAAAGATTAAACCCCCACTAGCATCCTCCACCCAAGTTAGAAGCAGATGTGAATGTCCTCATCACTGTACACAATGTCCTCAATTTAAACCACCACACATTGTGTAGTAGAATCCATGAATAAGGGGCATAGCCAGTAGTATTAACTATGTGAAATCCACACAGATACCTACACACACCAGCACCACAAACAACAGCAAAAATCAGGGGCCAATATGGTACCTTCCATTTCTTCCCCATTCCACCTAGTGACAGCCCAGCACTACTGCATGGTGTTTGCAACCCAATTGCTCTCAAGATCTCCAGGAAATGATAACATATACTATTTATTTACTAATCAATCTAGCCCTGTAAAACAATCCCAGTTCACTCACCCTCCCATCCTCTGACGCCCCCCACCTCTTCCCACTCCACCCCATCCACTCCTCAGAGAGGATGAGGCCTCTGGTTTTGTTCTTTAATTTAAGGTTCAACATAATCCTTGACAATGGTGGAGAAACAATCAGAAAATAATTTTAAAGGGCCCTCTGTCGTCTCTGTAGGAAGTTGATGCTGGCCTTCTGTTTTTCTACCACAGCATTGCCAAGAAGGGTCACTGGGTATTTTCCATAAGGAAGCAACTCACACAACATCAGGTAAATGCACCTGTGGAGGTCAGAGAAGGTGCCACCCTAATCATTCATCCTGAGAAGCAGCCTGAGGCCCTGTCATTTGTGAGGGGGAGAAAATTAGTCCTGGCTACTCACCAGCCACACAGGAGCATCTGTGTAGCAGGCAGCCCTCGCATACACTTCCCTGAAGTAAATACCCACATGGCATTTATAGTTTAATATTTTCAATTTTCACTGATCAGAAAAAGCAGACAAAATGGATCTTCTTTCTTTACATCCCTCCTCCCACTCTCTCAGAAAGCAAAGGTTAACACACTCCTTTTTATTATTTTTCAGCTCTCCAACAAAATGACATCTCCACAGAGATGAGGATTTTCCCCTAAGACCTGGAAAGGAACTATACACTAATTTAGACAATTCTGTTTCATAAGAATATCAAATTTTCTTAGTCTTTTCCCTCTGGTATCATTTTCACAATGTCAAAAATACAATCAGGACAAAATGTATAAAACCTTGGTATAGGAACCAGTGCCTCTTCCTGGGGGAAAAGCAAAAGCGAAGAAAGCGTGGGGTTCCCAGGGTTTCTTTATTTTATTCTTAAATATAGTGAGAAACATTTTTACATGCACAAAATCCTAGAATCTCTTTTCCTAATTCTTTCAACAAAGCATCTATTTTATGTGCTTAAAGGGAAAAAAGAATAATGAGAAAACATAAACACAGGCAAACACAGATTATTTAAGTTTCTCCATTTCCATAGACACACAGATATGGTAAGATGAACTGCCACATACTAGTTGGAAGACCTGATAGTCTCATAAAAGGAATTTCTAGCTGAAGAGAACAACTCTGGATAAATGGAAGTCATTTTCACTCTGCATTCTAGGAATGGAGCTGCCAAAAGCAAGTGGCTATAACCAAACAGTAAAAGTTGCTCATTGCCTCCACTCAATTTCAAGAGTGATCAAATGCCCCCGTTTAACTTAGCAAGCGGAAAATTAAAATTGGATTGCTACCTGGCCCTTTGCTGGGCTAAGTAGAACACACCAATCCATCTGCCTTAAGGGCTGCTGACACACAAGAAACAATGCAAGGGTCTAAACACAAGTGAATATCATCCATCCATGCAAACCACCTACACACTGGCCTGAGGATAATGAGTCCTGAGAAGGTCGTTCTGTGGTCCTTGAAGCCAGACAAAATGTATGGAAAGAGAAGAAGAACCAGTGGAGGAAATCACATCATCATCAATATATAGGTACCAATGCAGATGACTGGAACGTAACTCAAAATGCCAACGTCAGCCTGAAAGCATGACTCCCAATGTAAAGAGCAGCAGACACTAAGCCCCCAAAACAAAAACAGGACACAAGCTTCCTTAGCATCCTGTGCATTTGAGAAGTCAGGAAGCATAAAATATGTAAATCAGCTGACCCTAGTTAAAAAGTCTCCCAGCATAAATGGCACAAAAAAGAAAAAAAATGACCTTTGTTGGATAATTAATCTAGAGGGAACACATAATCACAAAGGAAATCATCCATCGTGTTTCACATTAAAACAAAATAACTGGGTCAACTTTCTACTAAATATCACAGAAATAATTCTTCACTCAATTAAGTAATATCTCAAAGCTTCTTGGGAAGCAACTAGATTCCAGCATCTACTGTTGTAGAAACACCTGTAGAATTCTTTATCAACCATGGCTTTTGGATAAGTGTTCATGTTTAGCAGTGATATCTTCTCACATATTATTTAAATAATGAAACAAAGCTACTTTGCATATGCCCAACTTGCATGATTAATTCAAGCCCTATACATGTGGCCTTCTTGTCAGCACCATTCTCAGTTTGAGAAACAACTATTTTGCACATCCTTGCAGGAACTTTCAATGTGTACCAAAAGCTCTTATACCATTTGCCATACAGGAAAATTGGTATATGATGTCATAATGGCTTCTCATGAGACAGCCTATCACATTTTCACAAAATAATACCATCTGTCTTAACACTAATATACCTACATCCCACCAAATCAGCTTCAGTAGATGTACAAACAGTGTGACCACAGTGAGACTGGGCAGGTTATTGCTTAGTCCTTTTTAATAACCTAATAGACTCTCGCGCAGTAGACTACAAGTAAATCCCCCACATTCCCTTCATCTTTTAAACAGGCATCTCTGTAAAGGAAAGATGAGCTATGAAGACCAGAAATTCCTACCTTCACTGGTGGCCACATTCTTCTGGGCTTTGGTTGGCGTGTGATCTGTACTTGAACTCACGTCGGATGAGATGCTTGAGCTGCCTTTGCCTAGAGCAAAACAAGAAAAACAGTAGTTTCTGAGTTTTGTAATCTCAAAACCAGACCATGCCATGACTTTTACTCAGTCACACACTAAGGCACTCATTTCCAAGTAAGTGGCTCTAGCACAAAAGGTGGAGTGTACTAAAGAGTTTTGACTTATGTATTAAATATCTTGGGGAAATAGCTTATCCATGTTACAGCAGAAATAAAGCCCTCTTATAATAGGGCCTAAATTATAAACTCAGAGAAGGTGATAAAACATGGCAATTGTGTTAATATAAGCATGTCTTGGAATATATGTGAATAAGTACATGTGGGGAATACATCCACTGCATTAACACCACTATACACTTTGCATTTCATAGCACTAGAAATAAAGAAATCTCAGAATGAAGGATTACCAGAGGAGACAGAGCTTTCAGGCTCCACGTAACTTTATCACTTTGAGAACACAAATTCCATGGTTTAATATGTCTTTCTGGGAAATAACAGAAAAACAAGTGCATGGGTTTTTGAACCAACAGTGGTCCTCAATCCTGGAAGTGTTTTCTATTTGAGAAGATGCATGTGAATGCTTGCCATCATTTTTGGCTGCCATAGGCAGGACAGAGGTGCTCCTGGCCCCTAGAGGACAGTGTCCAGGGTTGCTAGTAAATGTCTTACAACAGACACGACAGTTGTCCATGACATATAATTTTATAGCTTAAATTCCAGTCACAACAGTTAAGATAACTGGTCTACCTGGATTTACCTAAATCCAGGGCTGAGTTTCCACAAAGAGGAGGCCCGAGAGCTATGGTGGGAGACTTCAAGATGCTCCAAGTTACCCATGTCCTTGCTGATACCCAATATTTCATCTCATCCCTGTAATTTAAATATACCTGTAGCACTGTAACTTTCTCACAATACACCAAAGTTGAGGTGGCAATGTGACTAAAATCCCTAAGTTAATGTCTTTAATTAAGCAAAGGAAGACTATCTTGTGTAGACCTGACCAAATGAAGTAAGTGCTTTGAGAGGGTCTACATGAAAGGCGGCATCCTGTTGTCATTGAGTCTCAAGCAGTAAATGTTAGGGTTAGGGCTAGGCTTATCATATACTGCAATGGAACAGATTTGACTAACATCAACTGAAAAGAGAATACCCCAGATACTCACAAGATCATGACTCCGGCTAATAGTTTGGTTGCAACTTTGTACCACCCTGTGCAAAGGACTCAACTAATGCATACCCAGAATCCTAATCCAACTGTAAATAATAACTGCAACTCACTTTTACATTCTCTTATGTCAAAGTGATTTTTGCAGCAACAGAAAACCCACTAACTATATTAAAGATGCAATAGTTTCATTCCACATGTTATGGTCAAAAGTTTATAGTGCACCAAGAAACACTGGTTTCTAATAGTCTTCCCAATGGTATATTCAGCACATTCGATATTTACTTTCTACCAACTTGTTGAAATCTTAACCGCCAAGGAAACAGTATTAAGAGATGAAGGGCTTTGGTGTACTTAGATCATGAGAGTGTAATCCTCATAAATGAAGTCTGTGCCCTTGTAGGAAAGCTCCCTGTCTTCTTCTGCCACACGAGGGTACAACAGAACAGCAGTATGTGAATCAGAGAGCAGGTCCTTAGCAAAAACCAACTGTTCAGGCATCCCAACCCTAAACTATTAGCTTTTAAACTATAAGGAATAGGTTTCTCTTGCATATAACCACCCAGTTTTAGATACTTCATCATAGTAGCCCATATGAACTAAGCCAATTTTTTTGTTATCACTTTTTATTTTAATTTTAAATAGCTTGTTTTACATGCCCATACTGTACATTTTAACCCTATCTGAAAATATTCATTTTCAAAGGAGCAACCATTTTTTTATCATTTTTTATTTTGATTTTAAATAGCTTGTTTTACATGTCAATCCCAGTTCCCTCTCCCTCCCCTCCTCCCGCACTCCCCTTCACCCCCCCCTGCCCTCCCACCCTATTGCCAAATCCTTCCACATAGGGGATATCCACCCCCCCCCATCTAGAGTCTGTCATTTCACTCTGGGTAGGGTCCAGGCACTCCCCTAAGAGTAAAGGCTGAGAGAGCATCCCTCTTTGTGCTATAGGCACACGATGACTGTTTGTATTCCAGGGATAGCCAATTTTGATTGTGTAAGCTCATATCTAATTTCACAGAGTTTAAGAGCATAAAGTTTTAAACTGTAAGGAGCTTCAGAATTCTGTCTGCTATGTTGAAAGTCATGGAAAAAACCAAGTTCATGGGTAATATCACCTGGGCAAGACAAATGGATGTTTCCCATTACCACTTCCCCTAACTCACTGTAACAGTGCTCCAAAACAAGTCTGCTATTTAGATGGCATTACACAATTGCTTCCCCTGACATTAAGTGACACATTATAGTAACTGTATTTGTTTGCATCTGACTAAGCTTTTGAACTGGTGCCTCTGGATGTAAGCTGATATGCTGGCCCGATAATCTACTTGGAAGTATGTGAAATTTGTCCCTGAGTTCAGTATACATCCCCCTTGCTTTGTAATCTTGGACATTCACTCCCCCTGGTTCCCTTCTGTGCTGAAAGTTCAGCAACTATATCTGGTAGAGGAGGAGCTTAGACTGAAAGGTTCCTGCTGGCTCAAATTGTTAATGACTCTGAGTCCATTAGATTATTCTTCAAAGTCAAGTAATATAAACACTCCCTTTAGCAGGGCAAAATGTTATTGAAGACCACCTAATATGTAGACTTAAATTATTTTAATTATGTTATTGCTTAGCGATGTTCAAATGGAAAACTTAAAATAAATTCTATATGTTGTACATTTGATTCCACAAGAAAAGCAAAACAAAATAACAAATTAGCACAAAATACTAAAACACATAATACTAAACTATAACCACATTAATTTAACGTACTATGTAATGCTTTTTTTTTGCTGAGATTAACTTGCATTTCAAATCTTAAACACTGACTGCTAGAGCCAATGTGTGCCAGCACTGAAGAAGTCTCTGCTGCTCTGGGATGTGTGAGAATTAACTCCACCTATCCATTTCCCCTTGCAATGAACTCAGGGATTCCTCTCATTTTTTGCAGACAGGGTCTTATTGTGTAGTTTTGTCTGGAACTTGCTTATGTAGATCAGGCTGGCCATGGAATCACAAAGATGTGCCTCCCTCTGCCTCCCAGGTGCTGAGAATAAAAATGACAGTTACCACAACAGGCAGAGACTTCTCTCTTACAACAAAGCTGACCATCAGAGGTGTTTCATTTGGTCTTACTTCATCGTTCATATCTTCAGGTTTTTGTTTTTCTACACTATCAGTTCAAAATCATTGCCAAAGACCCCTCCCTTAGGAGATGAAGACTTACAGCAGGGCTCCTCTATTGTGAAGCCAAGAACCATGTTCTGAAGTACCACTGCATACGGTAAATTAGACTTACTTATCCAGGTCAATTTGTTGTTTCAATACTTACATGCAATGAGCAATGATTAGATCTGGACACTCAGAGAATCTATCACCTTAAAAGACCATTGCTTTGTGTTGGAAGCATTCATTTTTAAATTGACATCACATGGAAAGTCCAAGGATAATATATGCCTGGGGAAATTCTCAGTCACAGATGAAAATGTGTGTGCACCCTCCCTGTGCTCATGAACGAAGGAAGGGAATAAAGGTGAAGCAACAATCTTATTAAAGTTTCCATATGAAGCTGGCACTTGGGTTGTGTGGGTATATCCCCATACTTTAGATATTAAATATTCACTCTGTTCCTGGCTGTGCCTTTGAATCTATTTATTGCACCTGCAAGAAAAATTTAGATTTCTCCATTTGCTAATTATCCCCACCAACACCAGAACAACATCATGGTTGTGATGGACAGCTACTAAATGGGGAGAATATACATCTATTTTGTGCTCTAAAAGAGCAAGTGTTTCTTCCTCAAGAGACACTTTTGTCCCCTGAGGACATGACTACCTCCACTGATGTTGCATGTCACTCAGTAAGTAGACATTTTGAAAACATATTAACATCTAATGCATTAACTAAGGAAAGCAAGATAATAGGAGCTCAAGTCCAGTTGGTTCTCACGGTTTGAGGTAGTTACATTTTATAATGTCGCCACAAATAAAAAAAGCATTGCTCCAAAGGGTCCTATGAACCTCTGATAACAGGATTTTAATCAACATAACAATGGAAAACCTTGTTTTATATGTGTTTCTCTTCAGTTATCATGTATGATGTTCTTTTGGCTAATTTATATTGAACTTAAGGCTAAAAGTACCATAAATTGTGCCTGGATGAGGATAATCTATATGGGACATCAGAGTCTGTTTTTAGGAACCCTAGAAAGCTTTTAAGAACTATGCCTGAGACATTTTAAATGGCAAAATTACCAAGAGACAGTACTGATAAATAACAAACCAATAAACACACCATAAAGGAACACTGGTGATGACTGAAGGTATTGTGCAGTGGCAGATTGCTTATCAAACATGCACAAACCCTAAGCTTGATCCCAGTAATGCAAAAAAAGCAAAATAACAAGAATAACAACACAAAAAAACAAGGGACGCAAACAGGAGACAGATGGCAGACTGCACCCCTGCCTAAACTTCTCATGAAAACATACTCATGAAAATACCATATTTTCATTATCTATGTGCAGGGCTGTGGCTGAACAAATATGACATAGGTATTGATTTGGGTAGTCACAAGCAGATGGAATTGAGAATACAGTGTCTGTCAATATGAGGATTGACTACATATCATCATGTATTAAATGTGTTCTGCATGCTGTAGTCAGATTTCATGATGACTACAATGGGTGGCATGAAGGATCCAGAGTCAAGAAACCTAAGTCTGTACCTGTAGTTGCCACTTCCTAGTCTTGGGAAGACAATTAAACCCTCTCTGTCTCATGAAGATCAATTTCTGCATTCAATAGTTACTATGGTCATTAAAAATAACTCAGATACATTTCTAGGGATAGGAAAAG